GACCTGGAGCACCGTGCACAAAAGGAGAGCGGGCATCTGTAGCACTTCCATCACTGAAGGCACACAGACCCAACCCACCACCTGGTCCAGTTCCAGCCTGCAGCCACGGCGACATCCCCCCGCCGTGAGCTAATTAGCGTCCTCGCCGTTAATACGATCTCCATTAACGCATGCGCACATAACTCTCTCAGTCTGTCACAGCGCCGATAGGAGCGCCGCGTCTTGAGTAGGCCGGGTCTGGACGAAACTTTCCGTCAGTTCCTGCTTTAGGCAGCATTTAGCCAATTACGCGTCACTGTATTCGACTTCCATCTCGTCTCCATGGCGACAGCAGAAACCCGCCTTTTCCGGCCCCTTGTGGGAGCCGCTTGTTCCTCAATATGGTGAGCTGCCTTCTTTGCACACTGAAGGGTGGAAAGGGTTTGAAGGGTGATCGTTAGATATTGAGTTCTGTTGTGCATGAGCGTATACACAGCCAGTGTTTAGGATGCACCCAAAGATGGGTGCAGAGTGAGACTGAGAGCTTCTGCGCTCCGCAGTCAATGGATGTGGGCGTAATTGGGGCTGTTTCGGCGCCTTAGTTGGCACCGCATTTTTGATGCGGTTATAAATAGGAGGAGGGGGGAAAAAGTGGTTGCTTAGATTGCTACTGTTTCTTGCATGCTGATTTGGTGACTAGTAACGTGGCACCTATGGGGAATTTTCTTCCCCACAGGGCTTGTGAGAGTTGGACTTCGAGAGAAGAAAATGGGTTGAAGCCCTTTCTCAGCTTTGACTTTCATAGGCCCCGGTCACAGGGCAAAGTTGCCGCTGGAGAGGCACGGAAGGTGGGCAGATTATCCGGGCGCGATCACACCCCAACATCTGGGAAGTGGAGCGCACCTGTGGCTTACCGCCAACAATGCGTGTTAAAAAACTAGTACCTCCAAGGTACCAGTAAACATTTGCCACGGGCTGCCTCCAGACGCCCGTGGTGTGATTGCGCAGGCACGAGGCATTCCCCTCTGGTCCCTCGTTTACCCGGTCCCTCGTTTACCCGCCGGCGCCGAGGGAAGGACCCATGGTGTGCCGCCGGCGCGTCTGATCGCGTAATTGCGAATCAAACTGCGCCGGGGCAATTAGCCACGACTCCCCCCGCGATAGCCGGCCTGTGTGACCGGGGCCATAGTGTTGCTGAACACGTTACTAGTTCTCTGCCTAACCTTCCTTAAAGGGTGTTGCGACATTAAAACTGTCTAGAGGTTGGGCTAGAAATGTGGTAAATCGCTGTGTTACTCTGGAATGGTGATACAAATTTCAGTTGTTGAGTTTCTGCCTGCTGTGTGGCTGATGTCAGCATAGGAGCTTGACCTCAAAGAGGTTAGCAACTCTCATACCTGTGCTGTGGTCATACCAAAACTTGAGGATTCTTCTGGTGCTGTATCACAAGATCACCCCCCTCTATACAGTGTTAACTAACCCTAAAGAATTACTACATTATGGTTCTGTATCATGATGTTTCTGACTTGGTAGGGAATGCATGTATTCTCATGTCATGGCAAGCAACTCCAGTTTGCCCAGACACCCTCATTCAGACATTACAGCAAACTGGAACTTGATTTAAGGTTTCACAAATCTAGCCTCTGTTAGTGCTCTGCTAGTGAAGAGTGTCAGCAAGCATGAAAAGAAACTGTTTGTACTAGTCACAGATAAGTTTCTTGGGATATCTGACACCAGTGTGACTTGCCCCAGCTATTGAGTGTTGACTTGGGCATGAGCCTGTCTGGTTCCTAAACAAGCATCCTGCAATTGCACCTTTGCTTTGTGCCAATAATGCTGGTATGTGTTCTCTTCATTACAAAGTATTCAAAAATAAGCTCATTTAGTGAGAATACTATTGCAAGAATGCATTATTCATTAGAAAATTAAGGATTTGATCAAGATAACTCTTGTTTTTCTTGTGTTTGCAGGGGACGATACATTTGTTTCGCAAATCACAGAGATCTCTCCTTGGCAAGTTAACACAGGAATTTAGATTAGTAGCAGCTGATCGAAGGGTGAGAGTTTTCTTTTAGAATATGGAAAATAATGTTCTAGAGCAGTTGAGTAACTTTTCAGAGAAATACCAAGTATAATTTTCTGTAGATGCATAAAAACATTTGTTTAGCACATTTCTAAAAATGTAGATTGAAATACAGGGAGGGTGTGTGGCAGTTAATTCAAATGTTTTGCTGAAAAATGTATTCCATTAATAAATGATCTTGTGCTCCATCTTTTTTCATGCCATCAGCCCAGTTTATTACACTAGTTAGATCAGTGCTCTTTAAGTATTATTCACCCAGGCTCTTCTGTCTCGGGTGGCTGTTGTACAGCGTGTGGCTTCAGTTCCCCTGCAAATGTCAACAACTGCATAATTATTGTAGATCCATGGGCATAATATTGTATAACTGTATCCAGACTATAGCGCTTCATCCTACAATGTTTTATTGTTCCAAAGGCAAAAGAAAATGCTTCTGTGATTGTGGAGATGGCTGCTGTCTGCCTCTGTATATTGACTGTATTGCACTAAAGTTTCCCCATGCAATCTCAGAACGGATATTGGCATATAAGGGAATTACACTGATTTCTGTTCTGAATTTCTCCTCATGAACCACTGCTTGTCCTTTTAAAGCCTGTATCATGTTACCTGCTCCACCTGTCAAGATTTTTCTGTTTCTAATCTCTATCTCTTTCAAATCCCTCCTTAAAACCTGCTTTATCATAATCTCTCTTACTTTTGTCCTATATTTGTTTTTCTTAGATATGTTATCCAGCTGGTTTATAGCGTGTTGCTTCTAAAGTGCACCTAGTATGTTTAGTGCTGAGTGTCTGTTGCTTCTGTGTTCTGAAGTGCACCTAGTATGTTTAGTGCTGAGTGTTAGTACCAGTAGGGAGAAAAATACAGGTATATCTAATATTTGGGGACAAAAACCTCTGTAAATACATTGGGATGAACTAGATATTTGTAGTGCAGTTTTTTATTATTCTAGTACCTTTGTTGCCCCATTTGAATCATGTTCTTAGAAATGTGATAGTCTTGTTCTAAGTACCACAGCAACCTGAGTCTCACTGGCCACAACAAATACAGGTCATGGTATCCTTTTGGATTTTCTTTGTGAGACCTGTCTGGTTTTTATTCAGCAAACTTTTCAGTTGCTGTGATAAATTGTTCTGTAGCTAGCTCCTGCTTATTTATTTATTTTTTGTTCATTTAGTATTATTTGTGTTTTATACTTTTTGCATTCTGTTTTAACTTCTTTGACACACTTTGGTAGCCTGTTTTGTGGTCAAAAGATGAGCTAAAACACATGAAAAGTTTTTTCCCGGAATATGCTCCGGTTTTGACTCTGAAATCAGCAAGAGTTTTAAGCTGGTGGTATTTCAAATAGGCTATTCAAAATTACATGTATGCATAAATATGTTTCAGGATCATAGCTCTTCGAATCAAGTTGAGCTTTATCAAGTTTAATTTTAATGCTTTTGCTGAATAGATACTCTGTTATTCTTTACAGACCTGGAAAATCTTGCTGTTTGGGGCAATAAATGTAGTATGTACTGGCTTCCTGCTTATGTGGTGCAGTTCTACAAACAGTATAGGTATGTTCAGTTCTTACAGTACATTTTTGGGTAGTAATTATATATTATAACAGTAGTCTAAAGAGCAGAATTTTTGGTGTAATAAGGCTCTATAATAAAGGGTACATTTCTGATACTTTTTCCCAAAATGTACTGTAAACTGTTTTGTGAATTCACTGCTTTTGCTTCTCCTCTGGGGTTTGTCAGGCAGGATATAATAGGATAATAAAATTACTAAAGGATGTGAGATCTTGTCTAGATTTACACTTTACTGCTAAATCAGTATCAGCTGGAGGATACTTGAACATGCTGGTGTCAAGTACCGTTTGTGTTGAAAGCATCTAGATGCATCTGCATTTTGCTAAATGCTATCAAGTAAACTTGTGCCTTCTATTGCCTTGATGGACATTTTCATTTGGGGGTGGGTCTTGAATATGCCATTTTTGCAGTATGTGTTTGTGCAATGGCATGGTTATTGTGAGAGATTGGAAAAAGATAAATCTGTGGTTGTGGGCAAAAGGATCATAAAGATTAATTTAGCTTAATGCAGCTTGTTTGGTTGTGTCATGCTCCCTGCCCCAGAAACCACTGTCCAATCGATTGCTTCATGGGCTGAAGAATAGTAGGATTAGATAAAATTGCCCTACAGTTACTTGCAAACAGCGTTCCGTGCGCCTTGGTGTTTAGTCATGCTGGCCACATGACCACGGAAATGTCTTCGGACAGCGCTGGCTCTTCGGCTTTGAAGCGGAGATGAGCACCGCAACCCTAGAGTCGGATTTGACTGGCTTTCGAGCAAGGGAACCTTTACCTTTACTTGCAAATATTCTTCAGCTGTTGCTCATCTTCCAGCAATAATGGCTTCCCGCAACAGCCCTAACATTTGCAACTGCAGCCATTGATTTGCAATCCCTGTGGGGCTCTGACCCACTATTTGTCATTCTATGTTGTAGTTAAAGAAAGATCATTATAGCAAAATGTGCTTTGTAGGAAGTGGTATATTGCTAATGCATTAAAATATAAACTTATTTTTTTTCTACAGCTTTAACTGCATACACCTACCTGACAATTTTTGATCTTTTCAGGTATGACTGCTTTTAAAAATCTTGATCTAACTTTGCCTTTGGTGACTTCTTGTCCTTTTATTGGTTAAAACCATGTGGTACAGCATATACAAATCCTGTAATCTTTTTTATATTCAAGTATTTCATGGGCTAATTATAATTTTATAGGTGATGGTGCTATAAAGTATTTTCACCACCTTATACTTGTAAAAAACAAGAGCTCATATGTTTCCTGAAAGACACAGTATGCAGTTTGTCATACTGGGTACAGTCTGAGGAAATTAAGCATACTTAAATCCCATTGATCTCAGATCACTGAATATTCTCTTTGAATTGCACCTGGTATATCTGCTTAGTTGTTTGAGTAAGTATGGTGTTCCTATTCAATCTGCATCTTATTGTAATTGGAGAATGGGCATTTACTGAAATTCTCCTGTTTACAAGCCTGCAGTTGGTTCTTGTGTGTTGCATTTATAAATTGTGTATATACAAGTTAGAGACCTAGAAGGACACACGCGGAAACTTAAATCCAATTTTCCTCCTTCCCATGTTGCCTCTCATTTTTCTTCCTCCTTGCCCCTTCTTTCTCCCTAAACACTTGTCAACCCATGCTTTTCCTTCCTGCCTTTGGGTTTGTCTCTCTTCCCCCTCTGCTTACTCCAGCTCCACTTCCTTCTTCTCCTCTCTCTGTGGCTGTTGATTTCCCCCCCTATCTGCCCCCTTCTCCCCTCTCACTGGCTCTCTTCCTTCCTTGACCTCTGCTTCCCCTGCCCCTCTGCAGCTCATCATTGCAACTGCTTCTTTGCTTGATGGGACAGTCAGAAGGACCTCTCCCTGTGACCTTATTTCCCAGGCAGGAACATATGGGAGAAGAAGGCCATTCAGAAACACTGGTTGCAAGCTGTGTAGAGCTTTAGAAGTCAAAACATACTTTGAATTGGGCTCAGGTGTGGATCAGTAGCCAGTGTAATTACTGTAGTATCAGGGTCACATGCTCCTGATAGCTGGCCCCAAACAGCAGTCTAGCAGCAGCATTCTGCATTAGCTGCAGCCTTTGAACACTCTTCAAGGTTAGCCCCAAGTAAAGTGCTTTGAAGTAGTCCAGTCTGGATATAACTAACCAGGAATCACTATGATTAGATCATACTGACCCAGGAATGGACATAGTTGACGCACCAGCCAAACCTGAGCAAAAGCACTCTTAATCCACCACAGCTACTTGGTTTTCTGAGGTGATGCTGTGCCTAGTAGCACACCCAACCTGTGAACCTGGCTTTTCAAGGGGAGTATAAGCCCATCCAAAACAGGAGAGATCTCAAGTCCCAGGTTTGCCTTTCTTTTAACTCAGAGAACCTCTGTCTTGTCAGGAGTAAGTTTCAACTTGTTTACCCTCATCCAGCCCATAACTACTCCAAGCACTGTTTTAGCACATCAACAGCATCCTTGAATTAAGTGGGAAAGAAAAGTAGCCACTGCGATCCATATCTCCTGATGACCTCTCTCAGTGGCTTCGCATTGGTATTAAATAGCATAGAGCAGACTGTGTGGCATGCCACAGGTCAATGGCTGTGGGGCAGAGCAAGAATCCCCCAGGATCACCTTCTGGGATGCCATCCCAATAGGACCTGAACCACTGTAGCCCCCCCCCCTCCCCTCAGTCCCAGTGCTGAAGGTTGGGTCAGTAGGATACTTTGGTTGAAGGCTGTTGAGAGATCCAGCAGAACTAGAAGGGTCACATTTCCCCCGCCTGGTTTTCACTCTTCTTTCGTTTGCTGATAGGGACCCCAAAGTTAAGAGAACAACGTATATCTCAGTACTGTCCCTCACTGAGGGCCCTGGAACCAATTAGCTCTTCCTCTGTCTGTGAACATACTGTTATGTTTACTGTTAGTTGTAAGCAGCCTTGTTTGGAAGATGGGTTTATTCCTTTAGCTAAATAAACAATGGACATTTTGCTAGTCCTATATAAATGAAGAGCAACTGAGTGCACTGAGTTTGTTTTGAAACTGGTTTTAGAACCATGGGCTATTTGATTGGATTACTATTAAAACTTTATCAAAAAATATTCAGAAGGTATATTTTGAAACACAGAGTCCTTTAAACTCCCTTGTTTGAATTCTCTTTGGTGTTTTTCTCCTATTCAGCTTAATAACATGCTTAGTAAGTTATTGGGTAATGATGAAGAAGCCCAGTACAACATATTCATTTGGGTAAGTTCCTGTAATAAAATTTTATTAGGTGCTCTGAATATGTTTGAAAGATTATATTGTTGATCCAGATAATGATAGATGCTTTTTATTGAGCCAAAGGCTGTTTATAGAAGCCTGCAGAACCAAATTCTTCAACCAGATATGAGAGGACCAGAATTTGTGTATAAAAATAGCAGTCTACATAAGGTTGCATTCTAACAAGGAAAAAACACACCTCAGACGTTGGCCTAATGATGATTTAATATGCTCCAGCGAGGAATCTGTAAAGTTCAGAGCAGTTGAACATCATTTGGATGGGGGGAATTGGCCTATTCAAGCTCTTATGACCTTAGAGAATTGTGGAAGGACCCCTGACTTGGGGTCTGCAGCCTCGTTGTTAGCCGCCCTGAGCCTTTGGGGAGGGCGGGATATAAATAAATAAATAAATAAAATTTTAAGAGTTATGGGGAGGTTCCAAATTGGGTTCTCCCATTCCCCAAAGATTCCTCGTAGGGCCCCAGCTTGTGCTCCATGAGTGGCCTCATTTATACATTTGACCATCTGTGAGAAGACCAGTTTATGTAACACCCAGATCACTTGCTGGAGAAGAGAATACAGTCTATCTTCTGTAGATTAGTGGTACTCACTGCAGAGAGCCACATTCACAATTATGACCAACCGAAAGAGCTATGTGACTGTTGTATGCCCTGTCCACCATCCCACCAATACACGAACAATAAAGGGCTTTCCTCTCTGCCTTCTCATTTTGTCCTCAGCTACTTCTCAGTAGCTCAGGGTGAGAGCGTGAGGTTATTGAGAGTCCTGGAGGAGAGTAAGCTGATCATGAAGAAAGAGGAGTAAAACCACCACCATCCCACTATGGCTAGTTGCTTTTTTCTGTGTGGCTGCTGTGGCGATGGTCATTACTCTCTTCTCTGCAGCCAGCTTGCTCTCCTCCTAAGAGGAGCCTGGGTGCTGAGATGAGAGTCCAGAGGCTGTGAAGGGGGGGGGGGCTTTTAGTTGATAGGCTCTTCACTTCTGTCCCTGACATGGGGTCTGCAGCTTACTAGTCCTCCAGTCCATGTGGTGGTGGCTGTTTCAAGGTGACAACCACCTGCCAACCACAAGCACCATGGGGCAACAGCCTTGCCCACTCTCCTAAAAGTTGGGGTGGAAGCCACATTGGAGAACTGCTCAAAAGAGTTACAATTAAATTACCTTGGTTGTCTTGAGGTGGTCATAAAGGTAACCATAAACAGTCTACGACGAGTAAAAAACAGGGCTTTCCAATGTCTACAAAATGTGATTCTTTCTGTAGAAAAGAGCAAGAGTCCAGTAGCATCTTAAAGACTAACAAAATTTGTGGCAGGATATGAGCCTTGAGTGAGTCACTGCTCACTTCTTAAGGTACTTGAAGTGAGCTGTGACTCAACAAAAACTCATACTCTGCCACAAATTTTGTTAGCCTTTAAGGTGCTGCTGGACTCCTGCTCTTTTCTACTGCTACAAACAGACTAACACAGCTACCCGTCTTGATATATTTTATTTCTGAATATACAATTATTTCTTGTTCCTAATTGGGCTGCAGTCTTCCAACATTTGTATTCTTTTAGATTTATTGATTTTGTCCTGCAAACTTTACACAAGAGTCTAGCTTTGGTAATTTACAGATGTGGTCAAAAATCTAGTCTAAAATCTCAGAATCCTCATCTTAATTTGATGCATGCAGTGGTAGTACACCATCTTCAAATGAAAATCAGAATGAGTTATCTGTTCATGCCGGTTTTACGTGTTCTCTCAAATTCTAGGTTTGAGAGATTCGAAGTGCTAGCAGTATTTGCTTCTACAGTTCTGGCACAGCTTGGAGCTCTTTTTATACTAAAAGAAAGGTAGGACTGTTTACTACTTCATGTATGCTTGATATATATGGTGGTCAAATCAACTGCAGTGAAATGTTAGAGTTTTTTTTTCAGTTGTTGTAGCTAAAAAGCAGAAGAAACAAAAAAAAAAAAGGAGGGGAACCAGCGTACAAGAAATGGTGCAAAACACAAGGCACCGCTGGCTGAAATCTCTTAAAGTGAACAATATATATATAATTATATAAAAATAATATTTAATGCCGAGTCACTATCAGTATAACTGGATGAAACCTAAGTATTCTTACAAGGAACAACACTAATGCAGAAAAATAAAGTCACAATAGAAGTAAAGTCAAAAATTTCAACGTGTCTCACTCCTGTTGTATTATAATTTCATAATCCAACTTGGCATGCATTCATCATGGAGTGGACTCATATAGTTCCAGAAGGATCCAAATAATCTTGAAGTCCATAAGCCATAAACGACGCGTAGTCCGGATGCAAGCTGCCGCGTTTCAAATAATTCATTTTCAAAGCTGAAAGGCTGTAGTGAGACCTGAGCTCAGTAGTAACACATGCAGATATCAGTTTAATCAATCACAAAGGATCATGGGTCCTAGCTAAAAAGCAGACTGTTAGCCATGACTCCAAAGTGGTGATGTTTTATAAGAGGCCTGATGGTAGTTGCATATGTGGAATGTTAAGAACATATGACAAGAGCATTTATTTATTCAATTTTTATACCTCCCATTCCCTAGATAGGGCTCAGGGTGGTGTACAAGCAGACACTAAAATCAGCAACCCTCAACAACAATTTAAAATAATAAACATTTCATTAAAATTCATAATAGCAATACAATTCAAATAGATGGTGGTCATAACATAACAGATTTCTTCATAGAAATGTTAGTTCATTGATTGTAAAGTTGTGATTCTTGTGTCTTGTAGTGCTGAACGATTTCTGGAGCAACCAGAGATTCACACGTAAGACTGTTTTTAATATACACAATTTTAAATATTATGTATAAAATACGGCATTTACTACAATGCAAGACTAGGTTCCCCCCCAGGTATTCCATCGAAAAGAAAGAAAAGAGGGGGGGTCATCTTACATTTGCGTACAGGTTACAGTTATGTCCAGAGTTGTTTTTTTTCTTGCTGTGTAACTTTCTTTAGGGAGGCCATCTTACATTCTGGGTCTCGAGTAAATATGGTACCAAATAATAGTGAGGTGAGTTTACAGATTATAATTAGTATTAAATTATTCATAGTAGATAGGGTGAAACTGAAGTCAGTGGCAAAACTCCTTTTGAATTTAATTGCAGTGGATTGAATCTGTTGATATAAATCAGCTCACATACCTGTTTTTTAAAAATTATTTTTGTAATATTCTAAATTTGCTGCTGAGGATTATATCAGACTTGTGGGTATGTTATATAAATCTGTCTTTCTTACACTTGTAGTTGTCAGGATAAGTTGAGGTCTCCATTTTCTATTTCAAAAAGCATTTTTGAATGTAATCAAAACCTAGAAAATATAATGATAAATAGGGAGAAATGGGCTAACTAGTAATTTTACTTGGCAGCATGTTGGGGAATTCTTTAAAAATGATTGATTTCTTTTCTCTTTTTTAGGGGTCGATTGTTGGTTGGTACCTTTGTGGCACTCTCTTTCAACCTGTTTACAATGCTTTCTATTAGGAATAAGCCCTTTGTTTATGTCTCTGAAGGTATGGAATAAATAGATGTGGAAAAACTAACTCAATAATAATGTTGATGAATACTAAGTTGGCTTGGTTTATTTGTCAGTCATTACTAGTGGTTGCGAGTAACTTCCTTTCCCTTCCCTGAGTCATCTGGTCAGATAGGCTGTGTTGAGAAATTGTGATAAAACTGTGGTTACCTGTGATGTCAAATGCAGACTTACTGACAAATTATAGCTTATCTGGGGGCATTAACTCAAAATTCTTAATTAGAGTTTGTGGTTGTGGTTAACCATAGTTTTTACTAACTGTGGATTGTTGCACCCAAAATTTAAAAATCCCGGTTTGTTCAGTAGCATCGTCCCTCACAGCGGGAGGCTTGGACACAGTGTTGGGCTCAAGCCTCCTTTGAGAACAAATTTAAAAGGCAATGAGACAAGAACTCTAGTCGTATGTGATTAATCCAGCCATGATCATGTGTTTCTTCCCAACTTTATATTTTATTTCAGAGAGATAGAAAGGAAGTATAGGGAACGTGAGGAAAGTGCAGTAGAGAAAGTTGGGAGTAAATTTGAGGGCTGTAAAAACTTTTTTTGTCTGGAATGATGTCGCTAGACTTACAGGCAGGTAGAAGGAAGGGAAGGCTTAAGGCTCTAAAAGATAGTTGTGGATGAAGTCGGTTGACATTGCCAAGAGCAGTGTCACAGGAAGCCCCATTCCATTTCAGGCATGTGGGAACTCAGAGGTCATCCGGCGTCTCTGCCTGGTGATGTGCTTTTCTCTCAAGTCTGCCCAGCTGTTGGAGGGGTTTTCTTGCGCCTCTCCATCAATACACTGTCACCAGCTGGTTGATTTTGGAAGTCCTTGCCAAGAGGGCCAGCACTCCTAGCTTCCCTTCTGCATTGCCATTTAAAGACTCTGCCTAGTGTCTGGACCTCCTGTTACCCATTGACTGGCTATCTCTGGGACAGCTTACTACACTTGTGCACTCCTGGGGGGAGAGTGATGTAGCAACCAACTGCCTCCTGTCCCCTGACAGCTGTTAGCTATTGTGTTCAAATGGTGGAAGTTTATGGGGTACATCCCAAGTCTCTGTTACCTTCTAAGTGTCAGGTTCCAGCTAAGGGGTAAGCTGGCCATTTCAATGTCTTCAGCTGGGAGAGCCAATTGCATTTATAAAGCTTTGATAGCTGGGTACTTGTCAGAGCTGTTGACAGAATGGGCAATACTTAGGAACGATCAACTTCCCCCCCCACCTGTCTTCTGCCAACAGGAAGAAAACAAACCACTTTTAAAAGCAGTTGAGTTTTTTTTTTGCATGCCCCAGACCTCGAAATATAGGGATGTAACATCAAAGAAAAGGGCATTTCTCCACAAGCAACCTTGTGGATCTCTGAGGAAACTTGGCTTCAGCTTCCTTACCCCTTTGAAGAGGCCGATAGCAGGAGGCCTGCACTTGTAGGGACAGTAGGCAATGTAGGGGCGTTGAGGAAAGCACCTGTGGATTCTGCTTTGAGGAAGGAAAGGAAACAGCCTTAACTATTTATACAAAACCTGGGTTTTTATGTACATCTGTTAAAACAACTTTGGTTTGTTCAACAAACTACAAGTACAATAAGCAAAGTGAAAAGAACAATATAGCTGGTTTGGCACACTGGCTAAATGGGTTGATTTGGTGCAAAGGGGACATAAGCGTGCCTAGAGTGTAAGACTGTACCTGCAGTTTATTAGAATTATTATTTTTAATGCACACAGTATGTACTGTGATAATGGCTGCCCCCTGAGGAGGTGTCCTTAAAGCTTTATGTGGCAGGGAACGAATTTGAAATAAAATCTGCCTGAAGCCATCTAAAGTGACTTCTCACCAATTTGCAATGAGAGCAGGTTGTTTATAATCACAGTGTAAAGCATGTGGTCTTAATAATAACCAATATTCTTTTTTATGTAGCTGCAAGTACAAGCTGGCTTCAGGAACATGTTGCAGATCTCAGTAGGAGGTAAGACACACACACACACACGGGAGGGGGGATCCACAGCCAGATCTGGAATACACACACGCACATACACACATGGGAGGGGGGATCCACAGCCAGATCTGGATAGCCCAGGGAGGCCCAATCTCATCAGATCTGGGATGCTAAGCAGGGTCAGCTCTAGCTAGTATTTGGAGGGAGACCTTCAAGGAATACCAGGGTTGTGACGTGGAGGCAGGGAATGGCAAACTACCTCTGAAGGTCTCTTGCCTTGAAAACCCTACGGGGTCACCGTAAATCAGCTGTGATTTGACAGCACTTCCCACCACCAGGGATCCATTACTGGTAGCCTTTGGGCCACTCCAAGCCCCATAGTTGCCATACTGGAGGTGGGGGGAAAGGTGCTGTAGCCTTTAGCTTCACACGACTTACCAAAGTCCTGGGGTACCTCTGTCGTGTTACCTTCCACCACCACCACCAATGCTCCCTCTAAGCTGTGGAGTCTTGTGAGCAAAAATTCTACTTTGTGAGCTACTGGCATTAAAGTTGTGAGCAAGCGATTTGGCTACTGCATACATTAGTTTGCTCTGGAGCCTTCCTGAGTGAAGACAAAAATGTGTGACACACTGACTCAGCTTAGAGGGAACACTGGCCACCACCCCATTGCATGTGACTTTAAAGTAAAATTAGTTACTGAAATGGGGGATGTATTGAAAAGGAAAGGTAATGCAATTGTGTTGGAATGTGTATGCTGTAGCCTTGAGTAATGGCTTGGAAAGCATGTTAGGTGCCTAAGTAAGCCCCTTGATCTTTGGAAGGGCAGGATTTGGGGGGAAGACACTCTGTGCACAAATTAAAGTACTGGGAGCTTATTCCTTCACATGTTAAATTTGCCTGGGTTATTTTGAGATTGTCTATGGAGTTATGGAACAGTACTTGTTCTTTGGGTTATGTAAGAGAGAACTAAGCTTTTTATTTTTAACCTGGTATAGATTTTTTTTTCACTGTTAAGTGCATTGCCATATTTATATATTATTTGGGAGCTCTGTTCTTTTGCTGCTAGTCTAATCAAGTGAGGCATTATATTCCTGCCTTGTTCTGATCATAGCCATTTTCTCCCAGAATAAAAGTGTGTTTCTTTAGAAGAAACATACTTTTTCTTCTGGAGAAAGCTTGCAACTTTGAAGAAAGCTTGCAATTTGTCTGATTTCACAATAATATGAAAATGTTTGTGAAGATATTTGACAGTACTTATCTTAATTTTGTTTGACCCATCTGAATACTATTTCCTTTATGCATGAGGTGGGACCTGACATATCTATAAAAAAGGAACTCAGTTTCCCAGTAATCATTGGGTTTCTGTCTATCATATCAAAATGCAATATTAACTCATTTTCCATTTCATTTATTATTAATGCCCACAGACCAATTAGTCATAAGCAAATGAAAAAAGGATACAAAATACATAATTACATTATAGACTATCACTAAGTATCATAAGCAAAAATTTAAGCACAGTAAAAACCACAAGTCCGACATCAGCTAGCAACTTAGCTGCAAGCTCGTCCATTTTCAAATGTGCATTATACTCCACTTATCTCTGGCAATACTATGTTTATCACAGTCCGGAAAGATTAACTCATTGAGGCTGCTGACATCATTAATGACAGTGTCTGGAAATTTGAATATATAGGAGGAAACAAAATACTTCCTACACTTCCACTAAGTAAGTAGTTAGAATTGGGATGGCCACCGTATCATTTCAAGATCTAAACATGTTATTAAACTAGAATCAGCTATTTAGAACTGTGAGGAAGCACAGTTGTAACTGAAATTTGACAGCTTTGCACTTGATGTAATTTCAGAAGAAGGGAATGAACAAGTTGTCTATGCTATAGTCATTTTTTATTATAAAGTGTAACTGTTTATGTCCATTAACAATAATAACTAGGCTGATCAGTTTTCTGGCTGCAGAGAGATACTAATATAATTGCTACTGTTCATATGAATGGGCTGTGCTGTTTTTTAACGTGCTGTGTCCCCTATTTAAGGGCAGTTAATCCATATTTTTCTTCCTTTCTTTTAGTTTATGTGGTATCATTCCTGGATTGAGCAGCATCTTCCTTCCACGAATGAATCCATTCGTCTTAATTGACCTTGCAGGGGCTCTAGCTCTTTGTATTACATACATGCTAATTGAAATTAAGTACGTACAGTCACGTTCAACAATAAAATTCCTATATATTGAAAACCTGGTGAGCCCTCTAATGCTACATTTCTCTGTTTCAGTAATTATTTTGCTGTTGACACTGCATCTGCAGTAGCCATTGCTTTGATGACATTTGGTACCATGTACCCTATGAGCGTCTACAGTGGAAAGGTATTACTTCAGGTGAGACATTATAATAAGGACTGGCATTTTATTTTAATTAAACAAGTGTACTACAAGAAGCAAACAGAATACATATTTAGAAGTCAAAATAGGCATCATGAAATTTCAGTTTCAGTGAGGAGTGATGAGTTTTAATTTCAATTGTATAGCTTTGTTTTAAAAATCACTCTAATTTTATGAAATTTTCAAAAGTTATTGCTATACAAAGGAGCTCAGATATGGGAAGGACACCAAATGCTGCCAGGTGAACTACTTGCTAATGATTTCCTACTTAAGTGCAGACCTCTTTAAGTGCTGCTTTGTTCATTAGGAGGAGCTGCCTAATAAAGATGCTTAAACTGGAAGATAAAAATGCTCAGCATACTGAATCCAGTGACCCATGGGTAGAATTGTTAGTATAGCTATAAACAGTCTTACTCTTATAGGCCAGTTGTCCACTAGTTTTAACCCTTCTTTCCGAATTCCACTCACCAAATGTCATATATTTTCTTGTGTGCAAGAGTGAATTCCTGAATTGCCGAAAGAATAACAGTTGTTAAGCTGTATGTCAGGATACAAGGTCAACTTTGAAAAGTGTGAAATATGATTTTTGTGGAGTTTACTTTAAGTCATTGTTTAGGATGTTTTTACATAGTAGGCCAGAGAATTTGCTTTTAGGTTTTTGTATAGATCTGCAAGCATTCAATTTTTTTCACAGTTCCAGCTAACCTACTGTTATCTATTCCCCTGTCTTCAGTTTTCCTTCCTTCCCTACCCCTGGCAGCTTTCCTTGGGAGAAGTCTGGCAGGGTTTCCTGCTGCCAGGCCACACCCCAGTTGCATGGTGGGGAACCAACAAGGACTTGTAGGGACACCTCAGTTTCATCTGTATCCCCCTCCCAACACTATTTCCTTTTTGTGGCAACCACCATCACCTTTTCCTGCTTCCTCCTCTCCTTCCCAACAACCAACCGACATTTTATCTGCCCCACATCTTCAGCTGTATTGATCATTTTTACTACATTTATACCTGGCCTTTCTCCACAATGTGGACCCAAAGCAGCTTACATCATTATTTATTTATCTTCACAACAACCTATGAGGTAGGTTGGGTTGAGAGTATGTGACTGGCCAAAGGTCATCCAGCAAGATTTCATGGCAGAGTGGGGATTTGAACCTGAGTCTCCCAGATCCTGGTTTGACACTGTAACCACTACGCCACTCTGGGTTTTGTGTGGTGGCTGCTCTTGAACAGTGGGAAGCAACTGGGCCTCCATAAGTCATAGAGCTCCCATGATATCAAGTCACGGTGGCCTGGCCCCAGTAAATCCTCCACCAAGGACCAAAACATGCCTGGAAAGGGCCATGCCCTTCCCTTTCCCTTTTACTGACAGAAACCAAGGCTTCAACTGGCAATACTGTTGTAGCTTTCTAGTAACAGCCACCGATGACACTTTTTCTTAAAGGTATAGGCGATGTTTCTGTTATTTTTTTGGGGGGGGGGTAACCTCTCCCAGTGTTTTTTGTTTGTTTGTTTTGCAAACCTATGACTTTTCCAAGGTTTGTATAAAGCTCTGTCTTGTCTGTTTATGGCTCCAGTCTCTGAATTTAAGTATTCACAGAGCTGGCCATGTTAAGAATTAGAAATACTGATGGTAATATAGCCACACCGAATCTCTCAAATTTGAGTTGCGGTGAGACTATCTTAGCTTTCCTGAAAAGGCTTGGTAAGAATTTTAGAAATTGCATTTCATTTTAAAATGTAGGTTAGGTAGGAGAAGGGACTACATGTGTGCTTTTTTACTTATAATGTCACATATTCTAGTGTTCTGTATCATTGTACTTGTTTAGTTATTCTGTTCAAGGATAACTAGAGTGATTCAGGACAACACTGGGTGATTATTGGCTGGGATAAAAGGTCTTCCAAGACCTGGAATAAATACAGTTTCTGACTTCTCTTCAGTCAGAAAGCTGGTACTTGTATAGAATGATCATTGAAGAGACTGATCACTCTTCACACCGTCATGTGGTTTAGTGGTTAAAACACTCAAAGAGACTTTAGGTTTCAAATTGAATTATGAAAAATATCCTGAAATTGCCCTCAGAAAGCGAAGCCATTGATTTATTTGATCATATACCTTTTTACTGAGATGATAATACTAATGTTTCCAGTTAGTCAGCAGATGAAAATGAACATTTGAAGTGGAATCCAGGATACAGGAGCACTGGCATTTTAAGATTTTGATTTAAAGTCCTATCTCAAGCTTAGTATTGTGTTGTAATTTCCTTTTCTCAGCACTTACTAGGTCCTGTGGCATGACTATGCAACTTTTAAAAATTATGATTTTGTTTTTACAGACAACACCACCTCATGTGATTGGACAGCTAGATAAGCTTTTAAGAGAGGTAAGTTAAGTATATTACACTTATTCACAGTGGACAGGGCAGCTGTCTCTTCTAGAGAGTATAAAATATTACACTTATTCAGAGTGGACAGGGCAGCTGTCTCTTCTAGAGGCAGCCTCTTTGACCTGATGGGATGCTGTTCAGTGGACTTCCTGACACAGGGGGCTTGGAACCTGGAACCTGGTACTAGAAGGGGGGAGCTAAAATTGCCCATTGCATTTTGGATCCTGCCTTATGAAGAAGTGAGCAGAAGGGTTAAAAGGTCATAATTGAAACTGGTCACTCTTTCACGTCTTCCAGATGCAAATTGAACTGCTTCAGTTTTCCATGGAACACAGTGTTTCTAGTTTCAACTATGTAAAATTGGGCTTTGACCAGTAGAATGTAACCAATCAAAATCTAACCCCAATATGCCGCCAGTCCAACAGAATGTAAATAATCAAAATCTAACCCCAATATGCCGCCATTTTTTTTTAACTTCAGAAGGGTAATGAATTCAAGTTACCTCTAAGTTTTGAATCTGAACAACTAGGGCACATCTGTTTCTTTTCTGGTGGCGTCACAAAACATGTAGTTATACTCTGCCTTTAGTTTCCCTTTCCCCAGGGTGATGAGAGTAGGTGAGCAACAGCAAGGGGAGAATGCCTTGACAGGCACGCTGTCCAACTAGATTCTTTAGTCTACGTTCATACTCGACCATGATTGGCTTCCACTTCCATTGAGGCGCCTGTACTTCCACTTACATAATACCAGAATCTTTCAGCGAGCTGGAAAGTGCCTTGTGCCAGCACAACATACTCCACAGCAGATCAAAGCCAGTATTTCCCACCAGTCCTTTGCATACCTGGCTTGGAGAAGAATCTCATCCAGTATAAGCTAATATGCTCCCTGCCTGAGTCATTCCAGCTGTCTATCCTGAAGGTAGGCACGAGGAAATACTTTGCTTTTACTGATAGTAGTCAGTGGCAAGGGGGAGGAGGCTGAGGTGTCAGCCTCATCCCATTGCATCCTCCTAACCCTGCTGCCCTCTGGAGAAAGACTCAAAAGGCTTTGACTGTATATTGACTGTATATGGCTGCAATGTCATGAGCCAAAGAGACAGAAACTGGTTCTCATGTCCTCTGTTTTCCCTTCCATCATACTAGTCAGCTTTGCTGCTTTGCAAAGGGCTTCTCCCTCCTTTTCTAACAGTAAATAAACAAACATACACAGGACCATACAAGAGATGAAAGATAAATCTTTATGAGAGAGGCACCTGGCTGAGGATCTGAAACCTCTCGTGTTCCAAATGTAGCTGAGAGGGAGTGGCAACCAAATATGCTCGAGTTCACTTGTTCATGTATGAAGTAGAGGTGGATAGTGTTTTGTTTTTATTATTTATAACTCATTTCTATGCTGTCTTTCCACCCAAATAGGGTCCCCATGGCAACAGGCATCAAGGTTTAAAAACATTTAAACACATTTATGATGCATGTGTAAAATATTTAACCATATAATAAAAATACATAGACATACAAACACTACCATGGAGCAGGGCCAATAAGAGTTTACAAGGGGGTACACCAGATGAAACAAAACTCTTCACTTGCTGGCGGAAGACACTGATAGAGGGATTCAGATGAATCTCCCTGCGGAAGGAATGCCAAAGTTCCGGCCCTTTCTCAGGTTGCCACCCATCTAGCCTCCGATGGCAGGGGCAAGACCTCCAAAGATTACTGGAGTGGAGAGGTAGTTTCATATGGGAGAAGGTGGTCCCATTGTTGTTGTTTTACAAAAGCAGAGTATGTTGGAGGTATAGTACTCACCCTCTTCCATGTCTTATGTTGTGCTCTGTTGTTTCCAGGCCTTCTGGATACTTGGAAGTAAGGTTAAGCATGGGCTAATAATAATAATTATTATTATTTTGAAATGAATGACCCTAGCATTGGGTTTATATGTGTGTTTGGAATTTAGTGCCTTTTGCTCTTCCAGTTTAATAAGAGGCCTGCTGGCTGGGAAGGATGGAGAAATCTCATTAAGAAAATAAGAAAAGCCTTACTGAATCAGACCAGTGATCTATTTAGTCCAACATCCTGTCTCACCCAGTGGCCAATCAGTTCCTCTGGAGGCATAGAGGCCATTCAGTTTTTATGGAGGTATAGAAGCCAAGACCTTCCCCTGATGTTGCCTCCTGGCACTGGGATTCAGAGTAGGGACGTGCATTCAGGTCGGATATTCCCCTAATGTTGCCTCCTGGCACTGGGATTCAGAGTAGGGACGTGCATTCGGTTCGTGCATTCGGTTTTGGTTCAGCATTATTCGGGCCTCCCTACAGCCGAATCAGATTCCCTAATCTGATTTGGCTGGCTGAAAAGGGATTCCCCGAATGGATGTCATATATTCGGCATCAATTCAGGGAATCCCTTTGCTGGGCAAGGGGAAGGCACGGGGAGGCATTTAAGTGCCTTCCCGATTCTGCCAGGGAAGGTGGGAGGGCTCTTTCCAGGCCTTCCCTGGCTCGCCCGCTTTGGCGGGCAGGCCGGGGAAAGCATAAGGCCGAAACTAATTTGGCCAGCCGAATGACTTCCAAATCGGCCTCCATTGCCGAAAGTTGCATTCGCGGGTCATTCAGCCAGCCAAAGCACTTTCAGCCCAATTTGGCCAAATCTGAATCGGGCCTTTTTTTCTTTTTCTTTTTTGCACATCCCTAATTCAGAGGTTAACTGCCTCTGAACGTGGAGGTTCCCTTCAGTCACCATGGTTAGTAGCCACTGATCGACCTGTTTTCCATGAATCTGTCTAAACTCTATGCCTTTGTTTGCTTATTCAGCATGGGGGAATTTTAATGGCTTGTAAGTCACTGATCGACCTGTTTTCCATGAATCTATCTAAACTCTATGCTTTTGTTTGCTTAACATAAGAACATAAGAGACGCCAATGTTGGATCAGGCCAAAGGCCCATCCAGTCCAACACTCTGTGTCACACAGTGGCCAGAAATACCAGTGCCATCAGGAGGTCCAGCAGTGGGGCCAGGACATTAGAAGCCCTCCCACTGTTGACCCCCCCCCCCCAAGCACCAAGATGACAGAGCATCACTTGCCCCAGAGTCCCGATCTATACCTTGTGGCTAATAGCCACTGATGGACCTCTGCTCCATATGCTTATCTAATTCCCTTTTGAAGCCGTCCATGCTTGTAGCACCCACCACCTCCTGTGGCAGTGAATTCCATGTGTTAATCACTCTTTGGGTGAAGAAGTACTTCCTTTTATCCGTTCTAACCCGACCGCTCTGCAGTTTCATGGAGTGCCCACAGCATGGGGGAATTTTAATGGCTTGTAAATGAGGTTCCTTTCTCTTCTCTGTCTGGAATATGGCAGGGAAGAGCCCTTAGCCGGGGACCACAATCCATGAGAATTCCATCCCAACTGTTTGGGAGACAAAAACATTACTGGCAGAAGTGTCATAAGTTTTCTGTACTGAAACTGAGCTCATGCAATTATATTAAAGAACCTGAACAAAATTGTTTACAAATAGAATAAACAGAATCTGAGCCCAAATAAAATGCCTGTACCCATCTGTACTATGCAGCTTTACTATGATAATTTTACACCTTTTCAGATCTTCTATTTTTCCATTATTGACATTTTGTAGAATAAATGGTATGCAACTCGTGTGGAGGTAACTGAATAAGTGGTTAAATATTTTACTTATAAAGTATATAGTGTTGTTGTTACATTAATCTTATGGTTTCCTAAAGTTAGTATGGGCTTGAACAGATTTGCATCCTGACTTGTGAGCATTTACTTGAGACTTCTGTTGAATTCAGAAAGGCTTAATTCCAGTTTTCGTGAAGAAGCAGCCTTTTTATGAATAAGCCATTATAAAAAGCAACCTCTGAGGTTTCTAAAAAGAAGCTAACTCAGACATTCTGTTCTAAGAAGTTGTCTAGTACAACAAGCCCCACTGAAATAAATGAGCTGTGGGACATCATGCAATTCATTCACTTAGGCTTCTGTTGGAGAGCTTTGTATTGGTCTGTACCCATCTGTAGTATGCAGCTTTACTATGATAATTTTATACCTTTTCAGATCTTCTATTTTTCCACTATTGATATTTTGTAGAATAAATGGTATGCAACTCTTGTGGAGGTAACTGAATAAGTGGTTAAATATTTTACTTATAAAGTATATAGTGTTGTTGTGACATTAATCTTATGCTTTCCTAAAGCAGTAATTAGTATGGGCTTGAACAGATTTGCATCCTGACTTGTGAGCATTTACTTGAGAATTCTGTTGAATTCAGAAAGGCTTAATTCCAGTTTTTGTGAAGAAGCAGCCTTTTTATGAAAAAGCCATTATAAAAAGAAACCTCTGAGGTTTCTAAAAAGAAACTAACTCAGACATTGTGTCCTAAGAAGTTGTCTAGTACAATAAGCCCCACTGAAATAAACAAGAGCTGTGGGACATCATGCAATTCATTCAGTTAGGCTTCTGTTGGAGAGCTTTGTATTGTTGTGTATCTCATGCCTAATGCACTAAGCTTTTCCAAAAAGTGAAAGGGGGTGGATTGTGTTCTGGGTTGTTTCTTAACAGTACAATGTATCATTTATGTGTTGATCTAGACTGAAATTGAATCCGACGAAGATGGAGGTCCTATGCCTGAATCGGAGTGGCTCGGGGTTAGGGGTCCCTCTTCTGGCCTTCGGTGGGGCGCCATTGGTGTCAGCGCCAAGGATCATGAGCTTGGGAGTGCTCCTGACAATGGAGGCCCAGGTAGCAGCCACTGCAAAGGCAGCCTTTTACCACCTTCGGCTAATTAGGCAGTTGGTCCCCTTCCTCGAACGCAACCATCTGGCATCAGTGATCCATGCTATGGTTACCCCGAGGTTGGATTACTGCAATGCTCTCTATGTGGGGCTGCCCTTGGGACAACTCCAGAAGCTGCAGCTGGTGCAGAATGCCGTGGCCAGGTTGCTGATGGGTCTCCCCATGAGGGAGCACATCTAACCTGTACTGAGGTCGCTGCACT